TAAAGCAAGTTACAACTTGCCTTTGAATAGTGATTTGCAATTTGGGAGCAATTTCCTTTGAAATCATTAAAACTTTACAGCCAAAGTTTTTTACTCTCCTTGAAAAATTGGCTTATTACCTCATCATCAGAGGGGGAAAAAGTAAAATTTTGAAAGAGACTTGTTAATGGCCTAGGCAATGACATTAAAAAAAATCTTTCAGCGTCTCTCTGGCTGTAATTGATAGCAGTAAAGTTGATGCAGCATACAATTAAAACAAGATAAAAGTCTGGTTAAATCTATTCAAAGTTTGCTATACGAAATTGCTTAGAAACTTTTGTAGCTCCTAAAGTATAAGAAAAAGATCCCCCTTTCATCCGAAGCGTAAGAGGCTGCTGTATATGTGGGCTGCATTATTTGTCCATCCAGCCTGCCTAGTCTTCTGTAATGGGCCACAGCCCTCCTCCTCCTCACATGCTCTCTGATCCTCTTTCAAATGGCAGCACATGCTTTGAACCTTCTGCATGCAAAGCACGTGCTCTGGCCCTGAGCCCATGGCCTGTACCCTCCACAAAGGGGGTCAGATTCTATAATGTCCTTCCCTCATCCACCCCATGAGCTTGGTGTGTGGGACAGTGTTGGGAGACTCAAGTGCACCTGTCTTTTCTGCATACTTCATGCACCTGCTGTTGTGGGCTTGGACCTTCCCTTCAGGCTCCAAAACACCCAACAGTCTCTTCGTGATGCAGGTATTTATTGACACTTCACAGCTACAAGACAAAGTAATTCTAAAAACCCTCAAGGAGGCTGAATGATAAGCCTCTGCTCGTTGAACTGGGAACTTCTCCCCCAAATCCGTTCCTCTTATTAACACTGTGGGTTCTGCTGGTCAGGGATGGGGTAAGACAATGACTGCCCCCTCCAAGAAGGAACCTCCCCTGTCTCTTCCACAACTTCTCTGCTCTCCTGGTCAGCCTTGAACAGCAACCTTAAGGGTGCTTCAAAGGCTTCTGCCTCTTCCTGAGTTTCCAAAACTCCTATCACCACGTCTTCAAGGTCTCCTTCAGAATCTAAGTCATAATAATTCTAGGCTGCCCTGATTGGCAGTTTAGCTCACACACCACACCTGCCCCATCTGTGACATCCCAGTATGTCGACAAGAAATTAATACTACACAGTGTCTTATACTAGAATCTAACGTGTATAAGCAGATTTCCCATTGTTGTATTCAGTATAAATTCAGCAAATGACTATTCCCTTTGCAGCTACACCAAATAGAGTGACATGCACAGATCATCTGTGAATTAGGGATGGGTGAATTGAAGAATATTGACGATTCTTCTACAACATCTCATTGCTCATCACATGTTCATTTCTTGTTTGCATTTTCAGTTGCTGTTCACTTTTTGTGAACAGGAGATTTGTGCAAATCAAGAGGCAATTGAATGGGCCATTTATGCAAATCTCCTAATTTGTGCATAGTTCTAAACTGAAAGGAGGATGATTTAATCTTCTGAGGGAAATTTGCAAAAAGCAAACTTGAAATCAAGACTAGATGACTGTGGGTGCATGTTAGGTAATTTGCAGGCAACTTTGGTGGACACATGCTCACATTTAAGACTTTGAATGGCGCGCACTTGCCAGTGTTATAAAGTGAACATGAAATTCTCATACATCTCTAAATGATGACCCTTCATAGGTATCCGGGGACATCACAGGTGGGGTAACCATGCGATGGCTGATGGTAAAGACACAAGATTTTTTCCTTCCATGGTAAGGGATAATTGGAACACAGCTTTTAACAGGTGCTATCACATTTGGAAAACTGCAAAGAGTTCTGCTATCCCATCTTAAAAGGTTTATCACAGAATTCAATAATGTACAGAAAAAAAGAAATGAAAATTATCTTGGAGCAGCACAAAGAACAGTGCAAAGATCTACATTTGCCTCTTCATGGAGATGAAGGGACAATTTCGTGTAACTTTGTACTGCCAATGCTACATCACTCAAGCAATCAAATTGCTTCCATGAGCAATTACGCCATTCTTATCAAGAGGAAGGCTTTTTCAGTAGCGGGTAAAGTGCCACTGCAAAACACAAAGTGCTGTTTTGAAGTAAAACAACAAGGAAACAGCTGCATAGACTAGTCTCAACAGGAAGAAACATTTTCTTACTTGTGGATTCTTAGCTCATATGAATGAGCTTAGAGTATTTTTCTCATTTATTTTATTGTGGATTTCATAAAAACAAAATAAAACAAACAAAAACAGAAAGAAGGGGGGGCTCTGAAATTAACAATTGATGATATGTAAATATCCAAATCCAGATGTATTAATTATGCATAAGCTTCAAATAAACTTCAGATGAGCTTGGAATGAGCTCCCCAAAGAGGTGCACCTGGTGCCTACTTTATACTCTTTTCAGTGCCAGGTAAAGACCTATTTATTTCCTCAACATTTTAACAATCAATCTTTAACATTGTTCTTATACATTCCATTTTATTCTGTAGCACTGCTATGCTTCTGTGCTAAATTATAGCAATAGCAATTATGGTTTTGTTCTTTTAATTTTAATTTATGTTTGTGTGTCTTTTTAACTTTTGTTAGCTGCCTGGACAGCATAATAAGGCAATCAATCAATCAATCAATCAGAAAGCTAGACCAGATATCCATAATTATGTCCATTTCAAAGTGTTAGCTATATATCATCCCCTGAAATATTAAAAGCATTGTCTTGCCTGAATTGCATTAGAGGAGGTGAGCTTTTATTTTTCCTGTATTGTAGTATTACTTGACTTTGCTTTTGCTTCCAAGAACCAGATAAATGCAGGTGTGCGCCCATTGATGAGGAGCTTGGGCAAGAAGGAGATATTGTATTCATCTTGTTTGAGGAATCCTGTTGGCAGCAGGTTTGCCTCCATGCAAACTGAATGCTGGACAACATGGCCCATTAGTCTGATCTGGCATGGTTTTCCTCATGTGCATCAGAAAATATCAACATATGTTCTAATACAAAGTTTATCCTTGCTGTAACTTCCACCCAAAATGAGGCAATGTTGCCAAAACATATGATGAAAAGAAGATTAGCAGTAGTATACCTTCAGCAGTTGTTGACCTAGACAATCCCTTAGGGAATCCAATAAACATGAAACAGAGGTGTTTGCTGAATAAAAGAAATAATACGAAATCAGAGTCAAACCCTCTGAGGATGTCTCTGAGTGCCCCAGAAAGGAAAGGCTGTAGCTCTGCAGCATTTGCATGCGGACGGCCTCCTGCTCAATCCCAGGTTTCTCCAGCAAGGCTGGGAAAATTCCTGTCCAAAGCTCCAGAGAGCTGCCACAGGCTTTGTTGGAAATCCTGGACTGGACAGACCAATAGCATGACTCCCCCACAGCTTCCTACCTTCTTGGAAGACAAGCCTCCTTGCAGGGCCTATGGAGGATGCAAAAGAATTTCACCTTGTTTGTGTCAAGTTGGAACAAAAGCCAGTATTTTTATTATAATTATTTCATTTATATACCACTCAGTATATATGCATACATACTAATATATATGTTTGTGCACATATAGTGCTGCATATCTTAGAAATGGGATTTCACTAAGAAGGAAAATATATTTTGCTATTTTTGTTTTGTTTTTGTTAGGATTAAATACTTTCAAGTAGAATTCTCTTATATTTAGTAACTGTGGTATATTCATCTGTTTCTAGCAGGATCTTAACATGCAGATATTTAGTAATGCTGCAAGAAATATGCAATTCTAATAATAATTAGCAATATTGTTAATATTTAGAATATCTAAATTAAAGAGAGTTTTGAAACTGGAAATTCTCCTAGTTAAATTGTGATTTAGAAGGATGTAGAAGGGGCAGAATCTAGGGATGATATGTCAGTGCTGAGCCTCTAGACTGCACAGTATTTAATTTACTCATCAGTTGCTTGTGAATCTTGGTCTACTTTCCATTCATTCCCACAAATTCGAGGCAGCCACTTTGTGTGAGCCTCCAAAACATAAACTGAGTGCCAAAATCATTTGGAGGAAATTATTTGGGTTGTAAGAGAACTTATCATTTGCAGGGCAGTGTTGCCTTTTTCATTTTCCAGTAAATCTATTTCTCCTTCTCCTCATCATCCTCCTTCTCCAATCCACCTGCTTTCCCAGTGGTACGTAGTCAGCAGCAAAGCTCTTGAAAGCTCCTTTCTTCCTTCCCAGAATGTGTCTGGGAAGAAAAATATGGCAGCCTGAGCTCTCCTGCTCTTTAACAAGTATGAAAGACAGAGGTTTAAAAAGGAGAGAAAATCAAATGAAAAAACAGAATAAGAACCACCTTCCCACCCACCCCCATTATGGGGGAAATGAATCATGACCCACTCAGCAGAAGCAAAATGAGCATCTGCTATTCACCACGTCAAATGGGGCAGAGCATGTGTCCATTTCATTCCACCCCTTAGATCCCAAGCAGGAGGAGGCATTCCCTTTGACACCATCACAGCTGACTGTGGCTACAACATATGGAAAACCGCACAAAAGCATGAGTAGTGAGGACAGCTCTCATCCCTTGCCCACAAAATGGCAGCTTTCCCAGGGAAAAACAAACCTCACCAAAAGCAGCTGTGGCACCAACAGCGTTGTAGGATTCAGAAGCTGTAGCACCAGGAGGAGCTGAATGTTCCTCCGACTTTGCTCAAAAACGAATCCTGTCCTGGCGAGAATGCATTAAATGTTTGCATCATCTTAGGCTATTTCCTAGAACCCATTAGGTTCAAGTGCATTCGGTCTAAATTCTGTGGCTGTATTGCTGAGATTTAACTTTCTTCCCTATAGACAGGAAGTGTCCATGCCTGCAGTAGCACTTATTAAATACCCTCAGCTGAAAGAGAAATACATCAAGCAGTTCATGAGCCTTAATTGTGATTACACTTTATTGCTGCTTAGACGATTAAGTACTTAAATTAGCAGGTAACAGGATCTATATTCTTAATGGCAGGAAGGCACTAATCATGACTTCACTAAATATTTCAGCCCTGTTCCAACCATCTCATGGAGGAAAGTTAATGGCCCCAATCCGAGCAAAGCCCGTCTGCGGAAGTCCCAAGCAGTGCTTGAGATCCCAAACGTCCAGCTGGAAGATGCTGGGACATACGAATGCAAGGCTGAAAACTCCAGGGGAAGGAATGTCTTTCGCGGACAGCTGCAAGTATACAGTATGTTTTGAAGTTTATCTCTTGCAAATGACCAAATGAACCAGTGTTGTCTTCAGGCTACAAACAATTGTGATCAGACAGAAACCCAATATCATTAAGGCCACAATCCTTTGCATGCTTACTTGCACAGAATGCAATGGGACTGACTTTTTAATTGTTTGCATTCAGTTATGAAACAATTTTTTGGTGTCTTTCAGCACTAAAAAGAGCCCCAGTGTCATTTATGATGATAAAAAGCCAAAAGAATTAAAAAAGAGCAAGCAAAGCCAGAGCAAAGCAGATCAACAAAATGAGAGCCAGGTCAAATTAAGGCCTAGTCAGTTTTAGGAAAACAGAGAAGAGGCCAATGAAAGCTACTTTTTACAAGTGGGGCACTGCCACTGAAGGATTTTTCTTGTGTACCCAACGAATGCATCTGCCTAGTATGTGAAATACAAAAGGAAAAAGAAAAAATGCTATTTCTGAATAAACCTATATGGGATTGCACTGCAACCATTAAGAACAAAGGGGAGAGAGAGAGTGCATGGGTCAGTATTTCAGAGCTGCACTTGGATGGATCAGATTCTACCATAAAATGTGATCTTGAAGGATATTATGTGGGAATTAGGTCTGGGTGGAACTGTAGGGTCATCAGGATGAGGAAACCAGTGAAGATCACACTTAGCCCAGCTGGACAGAATGGGTCAAGTCCTGATCCATAAAAAGCCAAAGAATCTTCTTGCTATTCACTATCCTGAGCAGCAAAGGAAATGTTCTGTGTATGTGTTTCAGTGGAAGTGAAAGAAACCTGACCCTGCATACCTGGGCACAGGCTGGCAGCTTTCATATATATTACGTTCTTAAACAACACTGAATGGCAGCAGGAATTCACCAGGGTTTCAGGCAGGAATTTCCCTAACCCTGCCTGGAGATTTGAACCTAGGACCTTCTCCAAGCAAAGCAGGTGCTGTACCGTATGCTACAGTCCTGAAGAAACAGAGTATTCATTTATATTAGTGTCAGGTAGATACGATAAATGTTCACCCCAAGCTCCAACTGCACTCCATTGATGTTACTGGGGAATGCTCACAAGCCCATGGCAAACATTCCCTTTTCTTTCTGGTTATGCAGTGGTTGTTTTGTTGAAAAAAACAGTGAAAATCTTAAGAAACCAAGACATACGGAGTGCTTTTGTTGACAAAACCCAGCTACTTGTTACTGCCTTCCTCTTTCCCGAGATGAAGCTTCTCCCTCTCTTTCTCGTTCTCTCTCCCTGCACTTAGGGAAGGAGAATGGTTGGGAGTGAGCAGGTGGGGGTGAGCTGTGTGGGTGCAAGGAGAATTGAGATGCATGCAGCAGGGGAGTTTGGCCTATTCCTGTTCTCCGTTATTGGAGCGGGGATCTGTGCACACGCATGTGCTTGTGCCATTCCTAATTTACAATTCCCCTCTCCAGGCTAATATCAGCTCAGTGCCAAAGCAGAGATATCAGCAGTGTTGATCAATGTCCCAAATGACTGTGCTTTCTTTTTGGAGAATTGTGGCTTTTTAGCCTCAAAACAAGCCTTGGTCAAAAGCCCGACATGGGCACTCCACATTCTTCTGGCTTTGGTTCACAGATTTCTAAATAAACAACCATCTTTTGCAAGAGGCCCCTTCGACAGCTTCAGAGAGGGCTATGGGATTGGGCCTGTCATTCAGGGAATACTCAGATTTGCATTCATCCTTAGGTACTAGTTTTTCTGTCTGCCTTCATCATGCTCAGTTTGTCAGTTGAATTTGATCCAGTTCACTGTGGATGCTTTGGGGAATGCCCGGAATGCACAGAGGCAGCCTGTCGGCCCTCATTCAATCACAGGCTGATTTGATTCCCTTCCTACCGAATGCTGACAACCAGATGTACCATGATTGCCTGATACAGCTGACACTTTGGATGTGATCACTGTATCTGCTTCAGCCACTTGGTTTGACATTCCGCCCTGTGAGTGACAAAAAGCACTTCATGTTTGATTTTGCTGCACCCCATGATGCTTGCCTGGCTTTCTGGTTTGAAGAGCTGCAATGCTTCTGTCCTCATTTTGGTCACCTGTGATTTGTCACTAATACTGCTCAGAATATGGTTGACCTACAGTAGGGGCTTTCTTAAATTCTACCCCCAGGCCCTGTTGGCCCCAGGTTCTGGCCCATCAGCAGTTACCCAGCCAGAGATACCCTTGACACTGGCCATAAAACGACTCCCTTATTGACCCTTCTGCTGAGCAACAGCTGAATACCTCAGAACCTTCTGGGGAATGTTTTAGTACAGTACACAACTCATGGAAGAGGCTGATCAGTCTGCTGGAACATCTCTATGGACCCATCTGAACTGTGCACACCTGTTATACCCAGTATCTTAAATTATAAGAACCTAACAAGAACCGTACCAGATCAGTCCAATGACCTACCACACTGTGGCCAATCACAATGACTTAGCAGAAGACCTTAGTGTCTCTGTCTCCTGGTCTTGTTTCCCATTCACTCACATTCAGAGGCATGCTCTGATCCTGGAAGTAGTATTTCAATGCCATGGCTAGTTTCTCTTGATAGACTGCTCCTCCACAAATGTGCATCATCCCCTTTTAAACTTGTCAAAATTGCTGGACATTACTACATCTTACAGGAGCAACTTCCATAGGTGAACTATGCACTTTCTGCCTCCCGCCATTTGCTTTCATGGGGTGTGAGTTCTAGGGTCATTAAAGAGGGAAAAAATGATCTTTCTCCACATCACAACATTATATACATCTAGCATGCCCAAGTAATCTCCTTTCTTCTGAACCAAATCGCCACAAATATCATAGCCTCCCTTCCCCATAAGCTGTAGGCCACAGATTTCTTCTTTTGGGGACAAAGCCACCACCTTGTCTGGCTCAGCCAAACGCCTGGCTCTGCAAAGCTGATGGATAAAGGACACCACAGAATATCAATACCAATTAATGAGCAGATGTTCACTGTCAGAGACCGTAACAAGGCCTGCATTCCAGGACCTCACTTGCTTACATTTCAGATAGAGCATCTGTGGGAATCTGCCAGCCCTCCCTGTGCCTCTGATTATCAGTGGGTTGCCTGGTTACAGCTAGGCTTACCAGGGTGAAAAACTGTCATGCTGATTATTGCAAGGCATCATGGCATTAGCAGCAAAAAGTGCACAACTAGGACACTTTGCTTGGACATCTTGCTCAGGGCTGCAGGCTCCGCTGGCTCTCCATTCCAGCTGATGGGAGCCTTGTGATTACCAATTGAGAACATGCTAGCATTATAAGTTGATTCATCTGATCAATGAACCTCCTTGTAAGCAACCAAGGCCTGGCATATTGCTTGCCATATTGCTGCTCCCTGCAGTGGGCTCCAAAAACCCACTATAGGGAGCATAACATGGGAGAGGCTGTTTCCGCCCTACCTTGGTTACCATTCTGAAACTTTTTTGCACAGAACCGAGCTCAGAATTGATAATAATTGACTAGCAGGAGCCCCACTACCCTCAGGGGCACACAGCTCTATTTTTTGCAACAGAGAAAGCATATGGGAAATCTTCCAGGTAAGTTTGCTCGAGCAATTTGATCTTTGTTGATTCCTATATGAAATGATCTACTCTGCATCTTTGGAGCTAATGTATAGATCAAAAGTTCAATTTAGCTAGTCTCCAGTTTTTACATTTCTCCAAATGTGGTAATACAGTTTTTCGCAGTTTCAATTCATTGAAATTGAATGCATTAAAAGGCACATTGAAATAATACTTTGAGAGAACATAAATGTTAGATATATATTTAAGAACTTGATTTGAATGAATAATAAAAAAGCTCATAGGACACTGTTCAATGCTGTAGTTGCACTAGCCATATCTGCAGTGAATGAAGCAAGAATTAACGGTTCTGACAATGATTCCAGACCTAAGCAGAACACCTAAATGATAGCCCCAAATGGAAATCTCCTTTAAATATGGGAAACAGGGGACTGACCTGGACAGTTTTGTCTGTCTCTTCTTTAAGTACATGTCTGCTTGCAAGAACTATAGTAATTGATCCTTGAGATTAGTGAGCCATACATGCAAACAGGAAATTATCACAATGTCTATAGTGTGGTGTAGTGGTTAGAATGTTGGACCAGGGATGCAGGAGATCAGTGTTCTAGTCCTCACTCAGCCATGAATTTCACTGGGGAAAAGTTGCTGGAACTCAGTATAACCTACCTCACAGCCTTGTTGTGAGGATAAAATGGGGAAGAAGAGAAGCTTATGCACTACCTTGTGTTCCTTGGACAAAAGGCAGAGCATAATGACTACACACACACACACACACTCCCTAATGAAACAGTACCTTCACTTTTTGGCTTCAATGTTTGTCTAGGGAAATACAGAAAATTCTTATTTCTTATTATCAGCCTTCAACTATCTGGTACCCTCCAAATCTTTTTGAGTATATTGGGCATGGGTGAGGATGACTTAGATGTAAGAGGTGGAATGGGTGTGGAATACATGATTTGGGACTATGCTATGGTAGCAGCATGTGTATGAGGAAGTTCACACCACGAGGGGAATACTTGTGTTTCTCCAACATTCCAAGCAACAGGCTCCAAATCCTTTTAAAGTTTTTTTTTTCTTTTTGTGCAGGGATTTATTATTTTCAAATAATCCTAATGGTATTTCAGTAATTGCATGCCAACAAAACACTCCAGACCTGAACATCTTATCAGAGCAAGCCTAATGTTCTCAAATATGTCTAATTAAAGTGAACAATTGGCTGACTTGGTTTGTCTCATTAATTTTTGCTTTCTCATAAACGGTGAATGATGCCCATTTATCACAAAAAACAGCCTTTGCTTGAGCTGCTTTGTGTAAGTCACATATAAAATAGTTTAATTTTTGCAATTTGCCGTAATTATGTTAACCATCTCTCTATTGTAAGAATCTTTTTTTGCTTTTCCAACATTTAACTATTATTACTTTCACTGAGAATTTCATAACATTTATCATCCCAGTTTGATTTTTTTAACCCCAATCAGTTGAATTAACATTTGAAAATTGGAAGGAAAATAGCAAATATTCTCCAGTAGGTGTTAAGATCTTCCACCGCAAACTTTCTCTCTGGTTCTTTATCAAGACCTGAATGTTAGGGGTACCATGAGAACACTAAAAGAGTACCCATCATTGCTATCACTTTCCTGTAATCTAATGTCTGGAGAAACTTTCAAAAATGGGACACAAGCCCCCTCTACCACTGCTGAATTATTAATATTCCTAATAAGCTCTTACATAAAACTGAATTGTAATTTAGTGATGTGTGCTACATTTTTTCTGATGGATTCATATGAAATTTAAGTCTTACCAGTTCAAAGATTTTAAGCACCATGTTGGATCCAAACTTGGGCATGCTTAGAGTAGACCCAGTGAAATAAATAGGATGCAAGATAATCATGACTAAATTCAGTCTCATGAATTTGAGTGGTTCTACTTTAAGTATGACTTCAGATACAACACGATGCATGTTTAACCTGAAAAACAAATACTATGATTCCCAGCATTTCCCAACCTTCACACAGTTTCCATATGTATTCATGTTGCTGGTCAAGCTTGTCTGGAAATACTCAGATGCAAAACTTAGACCATAATCCTATGTGATTCCATACCAAGGCAACATCACTGAGCTCAACAGGGCTTGCTCCTATTCAAGTGGGTGCATGGCTGCAAACTAAATATCAGCTTGCTTTATATTGTTTGTAACTAGCTTGCCAGGCAAAACCGTCATGCCTTTCTTGCAGAGTCTCAAAACTCTGATTGGTGACTAGCCAAATACCAAATAGATTATAAGATTTATTTTAAATGCAGCCCAGCGCAAGGGCTGTTATTAAACCGCTTTATTGATTTTATTCTGTCCAAAATAGATTCTTCACTGTGCTAACTCTCAATTACTAAGCAACCCTGCCAGATATATTATCTGCATTCCTTGATGTCAAGGCCATTGACAACTGATACTCTACAAAGCCATACAGAAGAGATTTAAAAGCTTTCCTCTTCAGTGCTTGGGTTTAATAAGTTAAGCTTTATTAATTTGAGAATTCTGCTCCCTTGGAACTTCACATCTGTTGAATAGTTTTTAAGGCCTACAGCAGCATTCCCCAATCTAGCTTCCTCCAGAATTTTTAAACTTCCAACTTCCATCGTCCCAAAGCAAAATAGCAAATGATCAGGAATACGTCTGTTTCCAGAGGTGGCAGGCCTGCATGCACCAGTTGCTAAGGAGCCTGGGCAGGAGGGGGGTCTTGCACCCATCCTGCTTGAGGGCCCTGTGGGCATCTGGTTTGCCACCCTGTGCATGGAGTACTAGACTTGATGGACCTTTGGTCTGATCCAGTATAGCTTTTCTTATGTTCTTACATTCTTCATATTGGAAATTATACTGCAGAGGGTAGAGATCAAATTGCCAACATACGCTGGATCATGGAGAAAGCTAGGGAGTTCCAGTAAAACATCTACTTCTGCTTCATTGACTATGCTAAAGCCTTTGATTGTGTCGATCATGACAAATTATGGCAAGTTCTTAAAGAGATTTGAGTACCAGACCATCTTATTTTTTGAGTACCAGACCATCTTGAGAAACCTATATGCGGGTCAAGAAGCAACAGTGAGAACTGGACACAGAACCACTGATTGGTTCAAACCTGAGAAAGGAGTTTGGCAAGGCTGTATACTGTCACCATGCCTACTTAACTTATCTGCAGAGCACATCATGAGAAAGATGGGGCTAGATGAATCACAAGTTGGAATTAAGATTGCTGGGAGAAATAACAACCTCAGATATTCAGATGATACCACTCTAATGGCAGAAAGTGAAGACAAACTAAAGAGCTTCTTGATGTGGGTGAAGGAGGAGAGCACAAGAGTTGGCTTGAAACCCAACATTAAGAAAACTAAGATCATGGCATCCGGTCCTCTCACTTCCTGGCAAATAGATGGGGAAGAAATGGAGTTAGTGAAAGATTTTGTTTTCCTGGGCTCCAAGATCACCGCAGACGGGGACTGCAGCCAAGAAATTAAAAGACATTTGCTCCTTGGGAGGAAAGCTATGGCAAATCTAGACAGCATACTAAAAAGTGGAGACATCACCTTGCCGACAAAAGTGCAAATAGTCAAGGCTATGGTTTTCCCAGTTGCAATGTATGGCTGTGAAAGCTGGACCATAAGGAAGGCTGAGCGCTGAAGAATTGAGCCCTTTGAATTGTGGTGCTGGAGAAGACTTCTGCGAGTCCCTTGGGCTGCAAGGCAATCAAACCAGTCAGTCCTAGAGATCAACCCTGACAGCTCTTTAGAAAGTCAGATAGTGAGGAAGAAACTCAAATATTGGCCACCTAATGAGAAGGAAGGACTCCCTGGAGAAGAGCCTAATGCTGGGAACAATAGATGGCAAAAAAAAGAAGGGGACGGCAGAGGATGAGGTGGCTGGATGGAGTCACTGAAGCAGTTGGTGTGAGCTTAAGTGGACTCCAGGGGATGGTGGAGGACAGGAAGGCCTGGAGGAGTGTTGTCCATGGGGTCACGATGGGTCGGACATGACTTCGTGACTAACAACAACAACAACTGCAGAGGGAACTAGTCTGGGTAAGGCAACCCAGGATCCACTGTTACCTCAAAAGCCGTTGCGCTGATTCACAACTATGTTGATATGCAGGGAATCCTTTGGTGATTGGAGCTGCAGGGAACTGCATGCAGATACTGGTTTGTGAATGGACTGAACTCCTGACGCTGGTCTAAACACAGATCATTGACTGCTTCAGATATAACATTTCTGTTTTTATTAAACAAACACATTTGAATGTTAGCTCCAAAGGACCAACAGGCTTAGTCACTATTGCTCTCTTATCCTGCTTTGTAGCCTCCCAGAGGCATCTATTTGGCCATAGTGTGAAGGAGGCTGCTGGACTAGATAAGCCATTGGTCTGATCAAGTAGGACTTGTTAACTTGGAGGTGCACAGGCTGACATTTCACAGCAGGACTCCAATGGGACCCATTAGCATTGCATACCAAGGCCAGCAGGGAGGGGTCTGGAAGCAGTGTAAATCCACAGCAAGGTTAAGATCTTCCAGGACCTGCCATGCAATCACAATGTTACTGGGAGGCAATGTGATGCAGTGGCTGAAGTGCTGGATTGGACCTGGGGAGGCAAGCGTTCCAGTGTCCGCTCAGCCATGAAGCTCACTGGGTGAATAGGCAAGTCACCGACTGCCAGCCAAACCTAGCTTACAAGGTTGCCGCAAGTATAAAAATAACTAAAGGTCCATAAAGACTCTAGATTGATCATGTTGGTTATTATTTCACTGTTGCTTAGAAGGATTAAGACTGTAAATCACTCCAAAGGTATTTGTCTGTTGGGCAGTGTATTGTATGGCTCTACTGGAAAAATGAGAAGGAGGTTATTAAGGTTCAGCATTTCAATAAGCTTGCTCAGTGTCCAAAAGCCAGGACAGTTTTTCTAAAGCCATACCAAGGCTCGGTGGCATTCAACTTGTTCAAACAGCACCAGAAAAGATGGCCTCAAAGCTGCTTTCCCCAAATATATTTCATAAATAAGATCTGCTTTTGCTGTGAAAACCAAAACTGTTTTTTTTAGTGAAACAGATTCAATCCTCCCTTATTTCCCAGGATGGGGTTGAAGTTAGGGTTAAAACCTGTGTGTCCTGAGAACCCCTGACACAGTGCAGGAATTTTATAACACCCCTGGCCTTTGTTGCCCTTTGTTCCCAGGGAACCAATATGGCCACAAATAAAGGAATGTGTATGCTTTCTTTCACTTGTTATATTCTGTATCCTTATGTATTCACTGTATTCAGTCAAATGCATAACATCTTTAACACATGTGGTTTTGTTTCCTTCTAAGTATCCTTGAATGTGAAGTTAGGAGTCTTGGCTGGACCGTAGGGATTCATACAGGCAGTATATAAATGCAGTCAATCAATAAATCAGTCTTTTATGGAATTCTACTCAATTCACTCTTCATGAACTGAAGCAGGCTTAAGCCCTTTTTGTTCCCAATCCACTGTTGGCAAAATCTCTCAAAATGCCACCATCTTTTCTTCATCACTTTTGCTGACATGGACAAACCTTGATAACATCAGCTAAAAGCTCAGCACCACCACCTCTTCTGTTTTTGTTGTTACTGGCAGCGTACCCACATTGGATGGAGAGGCTGAACGATACCCAGTTAGACAGTGGGGAACAGCTTCGATGGGAATGTAAAGCCATGGGAAAGCCGAGGCCCACCTATCGCTGGCTAAAAAATGGAGCCCCTCTATGGCCAGAGGTAAGTGGACCAGTTGTTACCTTCCTTAGTTCAGTTAAGCTGTTCTGCTAATGCTGGGATAGCCAATTAACACATGCAGCATGATAAGAATCCTTTATTCTGATCCATGCCTCTGGCAATAGAATACAACTTGTTGATAACGTCTTTATTCAGCAGTCTTGAATCTCTGAAGTTTCATTGTGCCACTTTAGCTACTTTAAGGTCAATAAAAGAATGTTTTCTGTAATAGGAAAACCAGAAATCTGCCCAAATTATGCAAGTTAAGCAAATATACAAACACTCCTTCATTTTGCACAGTTTTCCTCCTTCTGTAAGTTATGGGGTTGGGGGAGATAAGTCTGTGTGAGACACTGAAGCCTTGAGGTGACCACGGGACCAGCTGAGCAGCATCCCATGAGGGAGATTGCCAAAGTAAATTAAGTTGCACTGACACACATTGACCTAGCACAACACCAGTAGCATTAGCCAGTGTACTGATTTCCCTTCTGAATCAATGCACCGACTAATTTTACAGGCGTTCTGCCACAGTAGTTAGCACAATGTAATTTATATTAGCAGCTATGCCCTGTTAGATACTGCACACTCTTCTGCAACTGCTTCGGAGGAGGAGGAAGCAAAATATTGCACATAATCCTACCTGCTGCACTTTTGTAGAATTGCATCATGCAATTGAAAACCTATACATTTGCAAGCATACTGAACGTATTGCTCCTCTTTCTCCATTTTATTGTATTGGAATTCGCATGAATTCAATCAACTGGTACTTAATTTCCTAAAACCAAGATTTAGCATGAAAGGGAACAAGTTGTAATACAAGGCAATTAAATCCAAGAACATGAACACAATTTATGACTAACATCCCACATAACTATGAACACTGCCAGGGCCCTCTTGCTACCCACAGCTATACCGGCAGGGGATGTGCACCATTGACCTCACTCCTGCACAAACACAGGTGCACATGTGCACATTTTCAACCAGGGAGAAGGCTGGATTCTTCACTATTAAGGTGCAATCCTATGCACATTTGGACAGAAAAGGGGCTTCCCACTCCCAGCATAGGCCGGCTGGGAGCTGTAGGCCTTTTTGTCTAGCTCAGGTTGCACCAGGTTGTATTTTAGAATTTATATCATGCATTCTTGGTAAACATGTCCAAATGCAAGATGAAAGCAAAATGCTGTAAATATACTATGGGTCCCAAGGTGCAGTGTAAGGAGAGCAAACTGAATAGTCAGAGTTCATTATGACTGTATCTAGCCAACTCACAGATGCCTATGTTCCTAGGGAATTCATCTCCCACTGTGTCTGGAGTGCAAAATGGTCACTGAAATATCCGAATACATATGAGAGATTAACCTACGCAGGTACTAGCATGGAATGGCACTTGCTCAGTTTAAGAGAACTGTCTTTGCAGAGTGTATTCGTGTAAGGCCTTTTCAACGGAATACCTTTGCAGTGATGGGCCTCTGCTCTCTGAAAAATGTAATGAGGCCCATCAGCACAGCCAGTACTAATTTCACTGAAGGTTCCTGAAAAACTTGATCCTGACATATAGCAGTGATACAGAAGGGGAATGCTGCTGCACAGCATGTGGGACTCCATTCTGGGTGAGCAACCCACAAATGCTGGGCACACTCACCAGGAACTTGGATTCAGGGCCATAACGAATTGGACTGGAGTCCAGGGACTAGAAGCCTGGGAATCAATCAGAATCCTGACGCCATTATGGATTCCTCCACATCCCTATTCTCAGGCAGACAGTTCAGATTTGGAATGTAGGATAAGCAGGGCAGAATGCCAGCATGCACTCTTGCCAAGAGGTCAGAGCAGCTATTCCTTTGGTCTGCATGTGGTCAGATGCATGTGTTTCTGCAGAAATAATTCTTTCTTTGTCACACAGCAGGACTTCTGCAACAGAAGCAGCTCAGAGTAAATCTGGTGGGTTACCATTTAAGATCCCCCAAACAAAGCACATGCCACCAATCCTGTACTGTGTGCTGTGTCAGGTGACAATCTCCCAGTCCTGGACAGCAGAAAAAGCAGAAAGCCCAATGCATCCTTTGTGTACTGCCATACATAACAGGCTACACTGTGCTTGGGACACAAATTTTACAGGTCCAGTTTACTTCTTCAGACCTGGAGTTCTTCACAGTAGAATGCCAATGAGTTAGCAGTCAATGTATTAGAGAAGTTAATAATAAGAGGATAATTCCAGGCAATATCCATTGTACACCCATGCAAGCTTCCCCAATATTTTATCATTGTCAGAGAGTCAACAGGCAAAACAAAGGAAAAGGCATCAGCACTGAGCTCAGCCAGCCACTTTCAAGCCTATTCAGCACATGAATACACGTGTCCCTTGCTTCTCTCTAAAGCTGAAGACCCAACAAATTGTCCTGGTGTTGTTTGCTTTTGTAGAATTATGTTTCTATTCCATTACAGAGCAGGATTGAGATGCTTAATGGTGTGCTGATGATCCACAGTGTGAATCAGTCTGATGCTGGAATGTACCAGTGTGTCGCAGAAAACAAGCACGGGGCCATTTACGCCAGTGCCGAGTTGCGGATTCTGGGTGCGTATTCAATGGGGTTGCATATTTTCCATTGTTGCATTCATTGGTGACATACCGCACAATGTGCCAGGAAATTCTCCAGAGCAATTCCCATTTAAGTGAGGAGAGGGTATCCTGGGGTCTGGATGCCTGCCCTTGCTTTAGAATCAAAAAGGAAGATGGAGCAGCCAGCTATTTCGTCAAAGTAATGTGTAGTTTGGCCCTGAGACTAGGTCAATCAGTGATGGATGGTTGGAACTATCACCTCGTTCCTTTCTATCTATCGGAACTACTAGGAATGGGCAAATTTATCAATTCTGGTTCTGTTCAGATTTTTCCAAGGTTAAATTCAGTTTGGGCCAGTTCTGTATCAATATATGGTTTTAGTTTTCATACTCTGTATAAACATTTGTCTACATTTTGTATACTTTCATTTATTTATTTAAAGGAAATAAATTTTATGTATTTAATACATTTCTATACCCCCCTAAAAGCCAGTTTTCTGGGCAGTTCTGAACAAGTAAAAGCATAGTAATACAATATCCTATATTCCAGACGTGTGTACTTTTTGTACAATTTTTGTAGGCTATTTTTATACATACAGCAACAATTATGTGTGGTTTTATGTTATATTTACTAATATGGACATTTTTGCATTTCCATTGGATCATGAGTGCACCTTTCCTTGTTGTGTACATATTTGTACATGTTGTATTCAAACGAAGAACAACCGTGCTAAATCCAGGAAAGTGTACGTTTTAGTGCACAGCTCAGTTCCAGAGCACTCTTCAGGTGTGAATCTGACAAATATATTTAAACATTGAGAAGAAATAAAAATTCTTGCCCAGCCTAGCAATTACCTTGGAGTATCATGTTATATTCCAGCATATTCCAGCATATTGAGCCGAAGAAATATCTATTTAGGAAAAAATGAACATAAATGTAAACAGAATAATTTAAGTATTCTGTTTAAATGGAAACAGAATAAATGTAAACAGAATAATTTAAGTATTTAAATAAAAACAGAAACAAACCATTCTAAGCAAGCACATAGAAAACATTTATTGAACTATGAGCATTTCAATTTTTAAGAAATATGTTACTTAGAAATATTTTTAATCAAATGCTTAAACGAATCCTGCTCTAGTTCCTTAAATCTATCACTTTTAAGTACTTTCTAATTATACATTTCTTTAATTTTATTAATAATTTTGTACTGGTACAATTTGTGATAATGCTTAATTGTAACGAGAAAAAAATGCAGTGGATTTGCATACTATCTTAATATGTACTTTTCTTCAACTTCTAAGAAAGAATAAAAAAAAATAAAGAGGTGTGCAATTTACAAAGAATTCATTGAAACAGGAAGCTGAAGATTTAATGGGAAGGCTGAAATGGCTCCTTTTTCAACAGCTTCTGCTCCAGCTTTCCCCTTAAGTCAACTGAAGAAAACAATCATTATTACCAAGGGCCAAGAAGTTGCTGTTGAGTGTAAACCGGAAGGCTCTCCCAAACCAACCATTTCATGGAAGAAAGGAGACAAAGCCGTGAGAGAAAACAAAAGGTCAGATGTCAGTCCGTTAATGTTTGCTTTTGACTGGATGAATGTCTGTAAGAAAGCGATAACAGGCAGGCTCCTTTGATTGACAATAGTTGTCTTTCAATACCAAATGTGTTAAATCAGGGAAATGTGTGATGCTTTACTATTATGCGCTCTAATGTATATTGTTAATTGTTAGAAGCTACCCATTTCATTTTATTTTAATTCTTTTGAAGGAGAGTTGGGTGGATATAATTTATGTAAGTTACTGATTCTCTTTTAAGGGAAATTCTCTTGTTTTAAGTCAAGCACATTAAAAATGCTGGGTTTGAAACCATAAGCACTCTGTCTGTCTGTCCATCTGTTAGATAGAAAGAAAGATGGCCAGATCTTATTCTGGCCAAAATCCAAAATATCCATTACCTCCTTGTCTGTCCAACAAGTCCATGACCAACCTTGTTGCCTCCTATGGTTCCCCCCCCCCCAAAGTTCTGGACCTGCTCCGCTTTATAACAGCCCTTCTCCCCATTGTTTGTTATTCTTCCCCCTATCCCCAAGAGAAGGTACCCATCACAAAGCTTGCCGCTTCTAATTTGTTCTTTCTGTTTTCACTTCTTCCTTGATAGCCCCAAAATTATTAAATGTGTTATGTATCCATTTATTATATATATCGGATGGATGGATGGATCCAAAACCCCAACCTTTTCCTCCAAGGGGCCCAAGGCAACATGTGAGCGGGGGATGTTCTGAGAGTTAGTGGCTGGCCCAAAGTCACCCACTGAGCTTCTGTTTTGTCAGTTTTCCTTGCAGGGCAAGTTCTGGCTTGATTTGATCTAGGAGCCACTTAGTATAGAAAACTAACAGATTGTCCAAGTGAGGGGCGTTGCTATTAGTTTTTAATATGGGGAGCCATTCACATATGCACACCCCACACCTGCACATGAACAACTTCACTCTGAAGCAGAATATTTAAGAAAGGACTGTGCTGAACATGGTCAGTAAAAATAAGGCATGCTTAGGGCTGCACTTCAACAAGCTGAAATGGAAAGCTAGGGCTAACAAGAACAGAAGGAGAGCATTTGGGCTGTTCCCAACTTTTTCACAGGAGTGTCCCATGATGGAACTATGGCTTGCTTGATGCTTTCCCTGAGGAAGAGTCAGGTCCTCTCTTTCATCAGTGGCCCCTTCATTGCTCCCATTTCATTACTCAGCCTGACCTCTAATTCCAGCAGAATTGCAGTGCAGTTCCCCATTGTGGCTTTCACTTTTATTTTATTTATTTATTTAGAAAATTTCTATGCCGCCCCATTCGCCGAAGCCTCGGGGCAGCTCACAAAACAGAATTCTAAGAGTAATCCAGAATTCCTTACCACATCCTCTCACTCAATCTGGACAAACCTCTGGGGTGGCATTTCCTGTAGCAGACAGAAATACAAATATGTACTTTATTTGTTTTCTAGGGTTTTTTTATATAGCTCTGACACACTAAACCCAGGAAAAAGAATGTGCATGCAACTGCCTCTGGATGTAAGGAGGGGACCACTCCTCAAATAAAAGACCCTTCAAAGGTGGTGGAATCAGATTCTGATTCAGAGGAGGAAGGAGCAGAACCCACAGTGGAAATGTCAAGGCTTGTGGACCCAGAGAGAAGCCAGGCAGCCGCTAAGAATCCAACGGTTTCACATTCTGTGGGAAAGCTTAGTTGGCAAGTTGATATAAAGGGTAGTGGACCTAATTTCGTTAATCCTTGTGTGCAGCATTAGGTTAGGAGAGCGGAGCAGTCCAGAAGTATCAAATGCTCCAGGCAGTTGGCTTTGAAGCAGCACAGATCAACTTCAAGGTGGAGGTACCTTTCTTCTGCTTGGAAAGGAAGAGAGATATTCAGTTTGGAATCAACTATGTATCATTAAGCTTCATTTCTCTAATGGCTTGTATGCTGAGTTTGCTTGGGTCTTTTGTTATCAAGTTCTGCAAAACTCTTATTTACATAATCATTTACATCATATGTTAAAACTGAACTGCTATGTTAGCTGGACAGTTTTAACATAGCATAGATTTTTAGTCAGAATCATAGAATAGTAGAGTTGAAAGGGGCCATGAAAGCCATCAGGTCCAATCCCCGCTGTTGCAGGTCACCAAATAACACCATCCCACTCAGATGGCTGTCCAGTTTCTTTTGGATGTCTCTAGTGTGGGAGAGCCCACCACCCCTCCAGGCACATGGTTCCACTGTTGTATTGCTCTGACAGTGAGGAAACTTTTCCTGATGTCCAGCCTGAATCTGGGTTCTCACAGCTTGAACTGATTATCTCGTGTCCTCCATTCTGGAAAGCCTTGTCCTGGCCTGCTTGGAAAGACACCAAGAAGATTTTTTTATTCCCCCTGCTGGAATAGAGACTGCAGTAGGGCTGCCAATTCTGGAGCTCCCCTCATTTCAAAATCCACTTCATAGGTGACAGGGATGACTTCATGCTAGCCTGAGAAAAAGAAGCCAATAGGAGAGTAGGATGGCAAACAAGTGATGTTCAGGATCACCAGATTTTCAAAACATGATTTTGCTGCCTGTCTTGTGCCCAATTTCTATTTCTCATTGCTGGATACTCTTCATGAACAAGAAACTTGTACACACCAAGCAGCAATTGAATGGGAGATCTGGGCAAGTTTTCCTAAATGTGTGTCAATTTTCAAATTAGCACAAATTCCTTGTATAGACTAATCCAGGACTGATCCAATCTATGAGGGAAATGCATGTAATTGCGTGTAAATTCTGAGGTTTACAAATCAAAGTGGGAATACAGAGCAACTTGAATGTGAGCAAGTGTCAGACAATTTGTAAGTATTTTCTGCAGAACTTTGAACATATTCATGTGTTGAATGAGCAAAGATTTAATGTTCGTATATGAGAGAGCACATATATGTTAGGTCAACCACATAATGGAAATATTTGGGAATAAAATAACTTGTCTCTTCTAGTCTTGTACAGCTTCAGTGATGAGAACAAATTGTGGTGGTAAGATTCAGTGCAACCTGGTGCCCTTCCCATGGGCTCGACTACAACACCCATAATAACTGACCAGCATGGTCATAAGAAGGGCTGCAGCCTTCTGGTTGGGGAAGGGTTATCTACTGGATAGAAGTTGGACTCAGTGGCCTAAATGGTTCCTTTCAGTTCTATGATCCTGGGATTTCCCAATTCCATATATTTCACAAGTGTGAAACTGTTGATGTTGCTGGTTCATCTTCAGCCTTCCAGTATACCCAAAGGGTTATCTACTGGATGGGTATCTTTGGTAATATCCTACATCTATAAATGCTGCTATCTTTTCTCCCTGTCTGTTTGCAGGACAATTCAGAGTTCCCTTCTTGAACCTAAGGATGCACTCCTGTGTGTGTCTTTTTTCTGTCTAAACATACATAGAATCGCATCCTAAGGACACAATCCTATGCTGATACCCAGAAGCTGCTGAACTCAGAGGCTTGCAGGTGTCCAACGGAGAGCAGAAGGAGCAGCAGATAATTTTCACTCCCCCCCACCCACATTTTCTGCTAGACAGACTCCTTCCCCTTTTTAGCTGAGGCATTTCAGAGGTGGAGGAGGGAGGCTGCATCAACTGCAGGACATGTGCAGCTGAACTTTCGAGTCTCCTGGACTTTCTTGTCCCCTCCCCTCCCCTCCCCAAATACCCCCTTTCCTCTCTCTGAAGTCACTTGACAGCCTCAGAGAGTTGCCAGCACGGCTCTTTCCATTCCAGTTGCAAGTGAACAGTAGGGAGGAGACACAACTTCAACTTCCAGCTTGCAAGATCAGACTACTTCCTCTGACCTTGGATCTGAGAATCTGAATGATCCTATGCCCCCCGCCCCCGAGGCTGTCCAGAGGCCATAGGATTGTTCTCTCTATCACTATTTTAATGCTTCCTACCTTCAAGACTTGCAAGAAATTGCTATCTTTCTTGGGGCATTCTGAGAAGCATCTTAGGGCACAGTTTTCGCTGAGTGATGGCCAAGCTTCTTGGGCATCCTTGCCCAGGGCAGACTCACGATGGACTCAGAAGTATCCTAAGCCTGCGCATTGCTGGGCAAAACAGTGCTAGTGGGCAAGCCATCTGTCAAGGTAGTTTGCCCAATAATTTTGGCTCTCCCCTTGGAAAATCTCTGATAAGCTTCCATGACACTCCAGCATTCTTTAAAATACAATTTGAAAAATGATTGTTCTGAATTTATTGTAGTTTTATTTATCTCAGATCACATTTAAGCCAATGTGCTCAAGGACTTGTAGGGATAAACTTTAAGAACAAAAGCAAATCGTTGTTCATTTCTTACTTCTGCTTGTCTCTCTCATAACCATGTACACGGGTGCACACAAACATCTCATTATTGAGCTTTCATTTCAGCTGATTATTACCATTACATGCCCATTAATTATAGTTAAAATAAAATCATCCCAAACCATTCTAGCACAAGAAAATCCTATTAAGGCTCTATTATTACTTACTTTGTGCTCTCTGCAAAAGAAAAAGTGTTTTAATTGTCTGCTTTTAGCTAACAAAAATCTAATTTCAGGAAGACAGTGTCTTTTCTTAATGGTTTTGCTTTGGTTTGTTAGCTTTCCTGAAAGTGAATGACAGTATTACAGCAGAATTATTTGCATGTCAAGATCTACGTTTTAATTTTATGGCTACTGATTACAAGTTTCCATTTTGGCCAGTCTATGTTTATGTCCCACAAATGCACAGAATTCAGACTTTTCAAGCCATTTCCTTTTCAGCATTTCTCCATCCCACTAAATTTACACTTTTAAAGTTGAATCATCCTGTCAAACTATTTGGCAAAATTACTCTGTTTTATTTCTATTACCCTTTTTTAACCTAGCACAGCATCTATTCTTATGTCTTGCCTGCTTGAGTTCTGCTTTTTGTTCCCACCAACCAAGGAACCTATCTGGCTCACCATCAATGGAGAAAGTTTTCAGTTAATTGCTGGATTTTCTGACTTTAAAAACTGTGACTCGAGATTGTCTGGTA